AAGAAAAGAAATAAAATATTCATACAAATTGGAAAGGAAGAAATAAAACTGTCTCTATTCACAGACATGATTGTCTACATAGAAAACATCAACAAATCTACAAAAAAAGCTCTTACAACTAGCAAGTTGAGTTAAGCAAGGTTACAGAATCCAAGGCCATTATGTAAAATGCAGTTGTATTTCTCTGTGCTAGCAGTGAGCAACTGGAATTATAATTTTTCAATATGCCTTTTAGCATGCCCCATTGAAATATTTAAGTTTAAATCTGACAAAATATTTGCAGGATCTTTATGCTGAAAACTTAAAAGACAAAACAACAACAAAAAACCCATTTAAATGAATCAAAGATGACCTAAATAAAAGGAGAGTAATATTACATGTATGAATTGGAAAATTCAATACAATATTTTTAAAGTTGTTAGTTCTCCCTATTTTGATCTATAGATTCAACTCAGTCCCAGTTCACAAGCCCAGAAAGATGTCATGGTAGATATAGACAAGCATCTGATTCCAAATCCAACTAATTTCAAATCGACAAATCCTAATTTCACTTTTGAAAGAGACGGACAAAGTTAGAGACTCACACGTTATAGGAATCTCGGTGAAGCGTAACTGAGAACGCTCTGAACTATTTTTGCAACTGCTTTGTCCATCTAAAAATATCCAAAATGACGTTTAAAACATTTTTAAAAAATCAAGTATAACTTTTGAGGCTTATTCCTGTGCTAAAGAACAGCACTCCCCGACTGTGTTTCCCAGCAACTGTTCTCAGTTACTTTAGCCGTTGCTTCTGATATTTACCTATATATTTCTTAATAAAATGCTTTTCCTGACACTTCGGTTTTTCACTCTTAGGTATTATCTGTAGTCTTCGTTCCATGACAGAGTAAAGTGTGGCTGTAGCTGTCTTTCACTACTGTTCACACTTCTCCCCCATCAGCCCATCACCGTTATTTGACATTTTGTACATGCACACGCGTATATAAGCACACGTATTTGGGTACTAAGTGAGCACTGTCTGTTGAGCCACTTAATGTACCATGGCTCTTGCATTTCTGGTGATTTTTTGTTTTTTTTAGTTAATGACTGACAATTATTTTGATCACTTAGTTTTCTATGTACTTATTACTGATTCACTGCAAAAATACCCAAAAGGATTATAATTCTTCTCTCAAATCTGTCTGCAGATGAGAGAATCCTTCCATTCCATTGAATTCTCTTGGAGACACCACCTGTGAACCCCTGGTTGTTCTGCTGGCCCTAAAATGAGTTCTCCCAGGTCCACAGACAGCTGTTTTCCAGGGGCTCCCACAAGCCCAGGGATTCCCTCGTCATTTGGTTTGGTCTGTGTGTTCATGCCGGAGACTCTTCTCAAATGGGTATAAAAACATATTTCGTGAGAAGCCACTGCAAAGCCAGTGGGCACGGCCTGAGCCGAGTGCAGAAGATCTGATGTGGATGAGATATTTGCTTGAGGGAGGGCTGACCGTTAGTGCTTGCATGTTTGTTTTTTTCCTGTGCCGACAAGTGTCTCCAGAGACAACGGTGCTGGCCTGGCTGTGTGTTTTAGTCATAGTCTGGAATGGAGTGGGCGCTAACTACAGCTTCTTACCACGGCTCTCAGATAAACTGTTCTGATTTTACATTTATTCTAGAGGAGGGTGGGGCCAGGAGTTGAAGATTTGGTCTTTTTCACCCATTCTATATGCCCATTTTCAGTGGTATCTAGTACTACCAATTTCTCAGGCTTTCTGGGAGTTTGGGAGTTTTCTGGGAGGGAATGGGATGTTTCCCATCGACTTCCTTCTCTATACACTGTACTTTCAGCCTTTTCAAGTCGGTTCTTATTTATCCATCTGCTTTGCAGCTTCCAAGAGAGCGTCATATGTTATCTACTATGGACTCTTTTCCCCTGCCTTTTGATTCCATCGTTTTAGTTGAGTATTGAGAGACAGTGGAAATAAATGTAAACTCATTTTGCTGTTTAACCCTAAGTTGACCTCATTTTCTTTATTGTGTTTGATGTCATTCTTCACCTGCTTTTAAGAACAGTACCATTTTCTGATTTGGGTTCACCGTAGCTACACCAGCCTCACCTTGTCCGAGTTGAATGACTAGATGTATATAAAATGAGGAAAGACTGTTTGTATTTTGCTTGGTATGAAATTAACCACATAGTCAATCCTACATTATGAAAAGTTGTCTTTTTCAGTAGCTATTAATCTAATAATAAAGCTAGAAAATGGTTCCTCTTTAAATCCATCAACAAGGTTTGGATTTTATGAATGATAATTTTAACATGCCACAGATACCATCTTCATTGTGTATGTGTTACATACACGATGCTGACTCTCTGTTGCAGTAGATGCTGAAATAATTCTGTCCTTCTTATGAGAAATACGTTGGGCCAATCTTTAAGTGCACTTGCTACCTACCTGTGATCTTTCAAAACAGATTTTCCCTATTTTGAACATGCTACTAAGATAAAGATAAGTTTAGCTAATGAAAGTACTAAAACAAAATGTTTACACTACATTCCTGATTAGATGATTTTAGTACAATTAAATTAGTATTTTTCTGCTATCTCTGCACAATATTAATTCCTAGGATGCCTGTGTAAAATAAATTTGTTAATTCACTTACCAAAACTACAAGGTTTTATTTTCTTAACATTTAGAAAGGGACAAATTCAGAGAACATAAATTTTCTCCGTGAGGTTGTTTTAATTCAGTTCACATTTTAATGTGGATTATATTTGAACTCAAATGCCACACACATTTGTAAGACTGGTTCCTTGTCTTCTCTCACTGGTGCACTCTGTTTCTCACTGTACTATTCTTTTATGTGGCCTCATGTCTAAAATGAACCAGGTTTTGAAACTCTTCGCATTTTATCTCCTGGGCTAATTATCTGAGTTTGTAGGGAATCACATATTGATAGTATATCTCTGTAAATAATATCATGCAGAGGCTGATAAAAGTAAATATTTCACCTAAATGTTTTCAACTACCCATAAAGAGCCAGATAGAAACATAATTGCGGTGTGGAGTTACCTATTTCCTAATACCTTCTTTTATTGAACTTATTAAGATAAGTCTTTGGGGGGGGCAGTGATGTTGTTTAGGCAATAAAAAACTAGGGGAAAACAAAGAGACTTCAGTTACAGAATGATCCTATACATGAAGATCTAATTGAAGATTAGTTATACTGAGCAGGGTTCCCACAAACACAACTTGCTATTTTCTCTCTCTCTAATGGAAGCAGATTTCCCCAAATGACACTTTATTCCCACTTGACTGTCCTGGGCCCAGCATCCTCAGAGCTGCTTCTCCCATCTTGCCTGGCTTGTCTTCTGACTCTCATGCTCAACACTCTAGCAACGTGCCAATGCCACCCACCCCACTGAGATAGAAACAAGGTGTGTGTTCCTATATCTCACCATCTGGACCCAACCAACCCTGTTTTCATACTACTTCTTCCAAAGCACCCTCTACTCTAGCCAGAAAAGGAAAAAACAAAACAAACAAAAACAAATCCTCTCCCCTTCCCAACGTCTGTCTCTTTGCCTGAAGAACTTCACTGATCATTTAAGACCGAGCTTGAAATGTCAGCTCATCTGGGGACCTTTTCCTGATTCTCCCAGGTGGAGTGAGTTTGTGTCCTCCTGCGGCTTCCCCTAGCACTGTTAGAAAGACAGCATCATTCATGCCTCCCACCAGAGGGTGGACTTCTCTAGGTTTGAGGCTGTGGTTCCAAGACCCAGCTTGCATTCGTGTTCATGGTGGGCTCTCAATACATTGCTCATGGGTTGTGAATGCACAATGAGTAGAGAGAAACAGTCATTGAATAAGTAAATGCATGTGTTTAAAGTAAGAACCAGGCCAGTGCTGCAAATTGCTATTCCTATTCTATATGCTGTTCTTGTCTTTATTTATTACACTATCATGCTCATTTTTCTTAGAAAAAATATTACTGTCTCATGTTGGATGAGTACTAGCTTTAACACATAACAAAGGAAATATTTAAGACTGATGTGCAGAACCTTAAAAACCACTAACAGGGAAGATGTAGGCCTCCTTCATGGTCATTTAGCAAAAAGAGCTTAAGCTTTAGGTAGCAAATCTAGAAAAAAAGAATGGATTCACTGAATATAAAAATGAAATTGCAGATAAAAAATAAATGTAAGTTATATGATTCAGTTTGGTTATTTTAGCTGAAAAATTCTGCCAATGCATAGAAACATACAGATTTTCAGGGAGTTTGATTATGGAGTAGAGATGACCACAGAATCTCAGACATTGTTGAATTAAAAAGGAAAACATTGTTTTGATTATTTAAAAATGTGTGGATTCAAATAATAAATAATGGTGATGATGATGAAAACTTATTTATGAGATATTTTACTCTTCTAAAGTCTGGGAAAGATTTTCAAATGTGTTATGCCTCCTAAAAATATTAGACAATGCCAGAAACAAAGTCATAAGCCAAAAGGATTGCTTTTGAATTTAGGTATGTGATCTGTCTTCTCCTAATTTATTTTTTAAATTAACAAAACTCTGGAATATTTGTGAAGGACTGCTTATAAATGATTCCATAAATTAGAAACTTAGAAATAAAAAATATAGTATTTCATATGTTTAAAAACAAGATGATGTTTATTTTTTAATATTTTTATTTTTTCTTATAATCAACTATCAAGTGAAGGTAATGTTTAAATATTTGGCCTTACTGGGATAGTGACCCAGATTTCTAGTCATCATGAGACTTTTTCTTAACCAAATGTTTATTAATATTCATAGCATTTATGCAACATGAAGATTCTGAAGGCACTTTGTATTTGAGAATACATCTGTTTCAGATCTATGGAGTCTGTCAGTCACTGCTGGAGTTTTTGTTTATTTTGCTTTGTTTTTGTTGTGTCTTTGAAGTGACTCTTGATTTGTTGCCCACTAAACCTAATAAATCTATAATAAACATTCTGCTTGTTGTATCATTTGTAGGTGCTGTGGTCTTTGGAATCGGGTCACTGGATATCTGAGGAGCCATTTGAACTTTCTACCTACTTCCCTGCAGCTCCTGTAAGTCAGATGCTGTTTTATGATGATAAATGAAATTTAGTATTTAGTATTATCAAGAAATTATTAATAAGCATAGGGATAAACTCAAGTTTTTATCAAGTCAAGAGCAAATATGCTCATAACTAAAAAGACATTCATAGGACTTAATACCTTTATCTATTTGTGAGAACAAATGTAAGAACATGAGAACATTCTGCAAAATGTAGCAAGGAATGGAGTCCCAAGAAATTTTTATTATGAAAGACCTAAGAATTGGGAAAAACAAAAATGAAAAATCACTATAGCTTCTTGGGACAGTAGCATCATATATGTTGCTTAATGCTTATATTGTTAATAGAGATAGAATTGATAGGTATAAAAATTGTGGCTTGCTAGCATTGTGATGTGATCTTTATAGTTTGATGTTTTTCCTAAACTTCACTTCAACTTTACTAACTTTTAAGTATTTCAAAATGCTGAATGGAAAATGTCTGGATTCTAACTTTTTAAAGATTGAGAAATAATTGAGTAATTTAAGGTTTAGTTAAAAGCAAGATTGTGCAGAAGTTGGCTTTTATTTTCAGAAATGTTAACTGGTTTGTGACAGTTTATTCTTTCAATGGATTAATATATGAAAGATAAATGGTGGTTTTTATCTGCAACGAGTCTTCTTGTTATTTAATTGTTTGAGTAGGCCTTATGACTATAACATAACAAGAAGTTGAACTCTGCTCTCTTACCACTGTAGTTATCTAGGTTGTTGGATTGTTTTTGTTTTCATTTTTAAGATTACTGTTTTGATTTCCTTTCAACTTTATAAATGTTTTTTTAAGGAGAGAAATAGTTCTGCTCAGTAAGACTGTTAGAATTACTGTGTAAGGAATTGAAGTAGAAAGTAAAAACACAAATTCCCGAATTGTCTGTCATAAGAGATTATATATAACTTTGAATAACATGATGATGTTTGCTTTTGAAATTCATTTTACCTGTCTACATGAGGAATTGATATAAATTACGTGTGTTGTTGCCAAATTTTTATATATTATCATTTTCTTACCTTAGTATCTGTCATTGTAGTCATTGAGATACCATGGAAACTCATTGCCATTTGATGCTGTGAAATTTTCTTATTCTCAGATGTTTTTTAAGTTGATACAAAGCCATGTTACCTCTCTTAAATATATAAAGCCATCTTAAATGTAAAATAGAAATAGTTCCAAGACAGGGAAGTTCTTTACTCAGTTAAATAAGTTGTTGGAAAAGTGCACCATGGTAGAAATAAAACAGAGTGCCTCAACTTCTCCAGAATCCATAATTGACTGAAAACATGTAGCAACATGTAAGTGTTCTAAAACTAAGTTGGGGTGTGGGGGGCAATGCAGGGGTATAATAAATTAGACTTAAAAAGTAAAGAAAAACAATGGTAGAAGGTGAAGAGAGACATGTAGTAAAAGCTGATTGCAGATTTGACTCTAAACTTCCTAGCAGATGGCTCAAAAAGGAACACATGAGAAATTGCTTCTAAATTATAAATCATTACACAAATTTTCATTGATATTAATTGTACTATGAAAACTTCAAAAGGAGTTAAAACTCTAGGAGTTTAAGGATTTGCAATCCTGATCCTAAAGCCATGTTCTCAAAGTTTTCTGTAAACATTTGAACATACTATGAACATCAGATTATGTTTTTGCACTCTAAAAGGCTGGTGCTTTTCCTTTTCAGTTTGCTGATGGACATTAAAAAACTTACTAGTGCAAAATATTTTTTTCCTTAAATAAATGTAAGGGTGAATCTTGAGAAGTATAGCTCTGTATATGTCTTAAATCAAAGGTTTTTCTCACCACAAATTAAATTGTAACCTAGTTCTCTAAAAATATATCTTACTAGAAGAGAAAATAGACTCCTATTTTAGAATAGTGAGAATATAAAGTCTCTTTGTCATGGAATTAAATGTATAATTTTCTTCATTATTAAATTTGATATTAAAAATCAAACTTCCTTGTCATGGAGCACAGTTATTTCAGAACCAAATTACAAAATTGTAAATATTATCAGAAAAGTTAAACAGTCATCTCACCTAATAAGTTATATTTAATTACTAAAAATACCTTCATATTTAACAGCTGAGCAGAAAAATAGTATAATCTTTACATAAACTAAAATGGCACATATTTCTATAGATAATTTTCGAGATCCTAGAAGTTTCCACCATATAAACTTGAACTATGTATTTGAGCATTAACTTAAAACTAAGCTGTCAACATATATGTAAATATTCTATTTTTAAAAAGAAAATTTAAAGCCCCTAAGAGGAGTAAAAATGCACTAACTGCTTTTCCAAACATTAAACTGCTAATAACCACATCTCAGAAAATCCCTGACTATATAAAATATATCATGGCTTAGAGAATTTCTTTTTTTTTTAACTGATAGTGATGCTGAATTCAGGACATATGGATATTTACACAATCTATAAACAGTGCTTAGAGGAATGCAGTTCCAAGATTATCTGTGCTATATAACATAAGTGTTCTGTTTTCCAGTTATTTACTGATAAACTCGCACATAACATTCTTGGTTGTGACAGCAGCGTCTGTAAGTTGTCAGTCTGATTCTCAGGCTTGGATTCATCCTCGCGTAGGTGTTTGACCAGATCGCAGCACCAGGTGTGTTTGGGGTTTCGCTTCGGTCCATTGTGCGATGCAGGTTTATGCAATGGGGCTTACAGGCTCTGATCTGGAGCACGTGGATCACATCAGCACACAAGAGCACGCCCTCCGTGGTGGAGGAGGAACAGCGTGCCGCCAGTGACGTTCAGTGCTTCAGGATTAAGTCTCTGAACACAGTGCAATACCGTCTTCCTCAGGTGCACACAGGCATCAGAAATCCGCTGGGCGGATCATCATGGTTGTGGCCTTGAGCGAGTAGCCTGACCCTTTCCAGTAGTACCACTTAATACCGTTGAACTTATTTGTGTTCTGCCTTTGCGGGTAGTACATTCCGTTCAGGTTGGAGGGGCCACACGCATCAAACCACCAGCCTGTAAAAGTGAAACAGAAGGAATTAGGAGCTAGGTAATGCCAACTCTCTCACCATGAAGGTGAGAGAAATACTCAGCCTAGCTGGTAATCCACATTCCATGCATTTAAAATAGGCACATGCCTGTTTACACCAGTGAATTCACGGTCCCATTATGGCAAATGCTCTTACAAGCTTTCTTACTCCTTTTCTCTTGTGCTTCGTGGAAAGGCCCCGTATCCGTAGGCAGGGATCCTCCACAGTCCTGGTTTGGTGAGCACACAGCACTTACGTACTTACAGCATGGAGGGTAAGCATCTGAGTAACTGTCCAGGACTCTCTTCGGGCCGGGATTACTTTTCAGTCCAGTAGCATGGTGGGCTGGACTCACGCAGGCTCCCTTCCCTCTACTATAAAAAGGTTTTTTGGTTGAAATAATACTCAAAATGTTAGGTACTCAGTGGAGCTAGATAATAAAGGAATCTCTAAGTTCCAGAGACAAAAGGAGAATTTAGAGCTAGAGTGATGTGCTCAGTAAGCTAGAGGCAGGAGGGGTGCCCAGCACAGTGGGGTACAGGAGTGGACCTCATCTACACCTGGATCCCTGGCCTGGCCAAAGAACAGGAGCGTGCCAGGTGCCACAGTTTTTGAGAGAAAGGAATACAGTAGTCCTCCCTTATCTGTAGTTTCAGATACCTGCAGCCAGCCATAGTCCAAAAATATTACATGGAAAATTCCAGAAATAAACAATCACAAAATGGCATTCCATTCTGAGTAGCGTGATGAAATCTCCCACCATGTACTCCATCCTGCCCAGGACGTGAATCATTCCTTTGTCTGGTGTATCCTCACTGTCTGTGCCCCCTGCCCTGAGTTACGTGGCAGCTTCTTGGTTATCCAGTTGGCTGTTGCAGTGTTTGTGTTCGGTCACCCTAATTTGACTTGATGATGGCCCCACAGCACAAGAGAAGTGATGCTGATTTTGGTATGCCAAAGAAAAGCTGCAAAGTGCTTCCTTAAAGTGAAAAGGTGAAAGTTCTAGACTTAATAAGTAAAAAAAAAAAATTATGCTGAGGGTGCTAAGATCTACATAAGAATGAATCTTCTGTCTGTGAAATTGTGAACAGTATATTGTTATAACTATTCAATTTTATTCTTAGTTATTGTTAATCCCATACTGTGCCTAATTTATAAATTGAACTTTATCACAAGTATGTATAGGAAAAAACATAGTCTATATAAGATTCAATATTATTAGGAATTTCAGGCATTCACTGGGGGTCTTGGAATGTATCCCCCCCAGATAAAGAGAGACTACTGTAACATTGATTTACATGTATAAGTCTGAATAAATCTCAAAAACATTGTGTTAAAAGGACTCATGCAGTATGATACCACTTATATTAAATTTTTAAATAAAGTGAATGAACCTTGACTCCAGCCTATATAAGTAGTAGATAGGGAATGGCATTGGTAGGGCTGCTTTAGCCTTACTTGTAATGCTTATTTCTTAAATAAAAATTCTAATGCAAAAGAATATGCATATGTGATATTTACATGTTGGTTTATGAGCACCAGTTATTTATTTCCTCCAGATGCCTAAATTCTTTACTGGTGGTAACAGCTGATGACTTTAGTTGATTCAGATCAATGTAGGTTTGATACATTTGTGTGGGTCATCAGAACTCTTCAGATATTCTGAAATAATTAGAGATTCATAGGTCATTTCCTTCTGGAGCTTGCTGTCCTTAACTATAGAATTTGCTGTCTGTGCACAATCTAGCTGCTCCCTGGGCAGGTTCATTCCCTGTCCAGACGCTGGCTGGAGTCTGACCTCCTCACATTCAAGACCACACTACTTTCTCTCTTGGCTGCTTTTCTCCTCCCCAGTCTCTTTTCCAGTTCCATTCGCAGCCCCTCAATCTTGATTTGAGCAAATAAATATATTGTTTCCTTGGTTATTAAAGCAGTTCTCCTGCTCTCTTGAGTAGCTCACCACA